TGCCTTCCCAGGTACATTAGCAGGGAACTGGATCAGAAGTGGAGCAGCCAGGACTTGACCCAGCATTCACATGTGATGCTGGTGCTACATACAGTGGCTTAACCTGCTGTGCCACAGTGTCAGGCCCCTCTCCCCAAGATTTTCATATTTATTTTATAAGCACTGATTAATTCACCTAATGAACCTAAACCACAAAAGACCTTTTTAAGTCTCCCTTGTCAGTATACTCAAATATTTTACAAATCACTGGCTACTGGCTAGCGATGAGTAACAACAGACCAAGTACTAGTGAGTATAAACACTGACTAGATTATTTTGGCCCTTATTGTATCTTACACAGGTTGCTTATTCATTATGCTGCAATATCACCTTGGTCTACAGAGAGTGGCATGTGTGATTTGGCTGCTGAAACGTTAACTACTGATGAGTCACATCTACAGCTGAGAATTTACTCTGGGGAAAAATGGAAAGAAATACTTGTGCTTGTAAAGAATACGCTCAAGTGTTCATGCTCATATTTATAGTGAGCTATCGTGAGACCTTGTCTAATTTCTTGTCCAATAGTGATCCAATTTCAAATTAAATTTCTGTTTTTTGGTTTAGCCTCAAGAAATATTTTTATTACTTAGTAAAAATCTAAAAAGGAAGCTTATTAAATTTTTCTAACATCTCTCTGGCATCAACCCCTTCTGCCTACTGTGTTACAGACTTCTGGTGGGCCTTGAGATACAAAGTGAAGAAGGTACAAACCACCTTCTCAAGGAGCTTATGTTCTTATTGGGATGGGGAGCAAATCTGCAATTATAATTTAAAAAATAATCAATACATAATCACCAGTAGGATTACAAAATCAGGATTGAAAAAAAATCCCAGTATTTAGTAATGAAAGAACAAAATAAAATGACATTTCAGCTGGCGCCGTGGCTCACTTGGTTAATCCTCTGCCTGTGGCACCAGCATCACATATGGGCACCGGGTTCTAGTCCCGGTTGCTCCTCTTCCAGTCCAGCTCTCTGCTGTGGCCCGGGAAGGCAGTGGAGGATGGCCCAAGTGCTTGGGCCCCTGCATCCGCATGGGCGACCAGGAAGAAGCACCTGGCTCCTGGCTTCAGATCGGCGCAGCATTGGCAGTGGTGGCCATTTGGGGAGTGAACTCACTGAAGGAAGACCTTTCTCTCTTTCTCTCTCTCTCACTGTCTATAATTCTACTTATCAAAAAAAAAAAAAAAAAAGACATTTCAGAGGCTCAGGTGCTTAAAATTAATTATATAACCACAAAATGTAAAAGGCCTTGATTGATGGCAGCTTATATAAAAAAGATACATAGTGGCAGGCATTTGCTGCCAAGGTAAGATGATGCTTGGTATGTTCTGAGATCAAGATCTGCATTTGAGCCCTGGCTTTGTTTCCAGTTCCAGCTTCTTGCAAATGCATGCCATAAGTGGCAGAAGTTGATGGTTCAAGTACTGGAGTCCCTTACACCCATCTGTGGGAGACCTGGACTGAATTCCAGACTTCTGGCTTTGGCCGGGTACAGTCCCAGCTATTGCACGCATTTGTGGAGTGAACTAATGGATGGATAATCTCTGTCTCTCTCCTTCTAATTAAAAAACAATAATCATTTTTTAAAAGATTTGTAGGTTTCACCTGACTACAACTTCATAAAACCATAAAAGGCAACTATGTGAAATAGCTTTTTAAAAGCCCGTGTATGGGTCCAGTGTTGTAGCACAGCATGTTAAGCTGCTGCTTGGGATCCTACATTCCACATTGGAGTGCTGGTTCAGGTACTGGCTACTCTGTCCAACCCAGCATCCTGCCGATGCATCCTGGGAGATAGCAGATGATGGCTCGAGTGCTTGGGCCCCTGCTGCCTACGTGGGACACCAGAATGGAGTTCTAGGTTCCTGGCTTTGGTCTGGTCCTGCCCTGGCTGTTGTGGGCATTAGTGATCCTCTGGATGGAAAAATCTCTCTTTCTCTCATTCTGCCTTTCAAGCAGATGAAAATAAATAAACATTAAAAGAAAAAAATCTAATAAATGTGGTTGTCACTTCACAGTGTACCTCAAAAATCCAAGTTATACACCTTGAATATATACAATTTTTATTTGTCAACTGTAAAAATTACCAAAAGCAAAGGGAAAGTAACATAAATTGAAAGAAATTATCACAGTGACAGTAACCAGCTCCCTCCATGTCCAGAGTTACCTGTGCTGCTTCAGGAGGCTCACTCAAGAGAAACGTTACAGAAGTAGTGGTGCTTGGCACTTGCACTGTGCTCCATAGCAAGAGAAAGGGGCTCCACTCGCACCACCATGGAGTCAAAGTGTTCACTTCTTTTCTGGAGCCTTCCCCAGCCCAGGGTCCACCCACCCAGTGGCACAGGCCTGCCTTCCCCTCCTCCCTCAAGCACAGTTTGTCCAGCCCAGTGCCTTGCTCCTGCCAGCCCCTGTCCCCCTAGGAGGGAAGCATGGGTGGAGCTAGATACTCGTCAGTACCACTCTTACGTTCCTTTGCTCCCACTAACACCCCAACTCCTTCTCAACCTCTCCCTGAGCACCTGCAAGTGAGGTTGGGGGCTAACAAGAAGGAGCAGAGGTCTCCTGCTCGGAGTCTGCGGGGACAGGTCTCTCAGGATTGGCCAGACCTCCAGCTGTCCCGCAGACCTTCCCTTCACTTCCATTTATTCATTTACCCTCATTTACAGAGATTTAGAAAGATTTACAGTTAACAAATGGATTCCTATATAAAGATTTTTTAACGTTTTACAGCAAAAGGAAATTGTAATATAAGCACAATGTTCAAGGGAATAAAGACCATGCCTTAGGAAAACAAAAAAAAAAACAACTAGCAGTACTGTAGGTGTACGTGCCTGTGCTCAGAGCCATCCAATACCCACTGGTGGCAGTGACAGATGCATCAGACTCAGAGTCTCCAGTCTGTCCTTTCTGCCTTAAGTGAAAAGCAATTTTTATAGTCCTCTTCCTCCAATGTTGTCCCCATTCATTTACGCTTAATTTTCAGTACATGGAGAATACTGAAACTTCAAGAAACTGCAGTATTCTATATTTAGGAGAATGTGAACTCAGCATAAGATTTTATTCTGATGTAAAAGTTAATGAGATTATTTTGGCTCCTTATGGAAAAGGGTAAATTAGCCTGACTTGGTGGGTCTATTTGGAAAAATTTACGGAAGAAATACTTTAATTTGGCCTGGTCACTTCCCCCAGGACCATTCAAAACTCTAAACTATGCAGGATTAAACATGTTTTCACCTAAGCTTCATTTGAGAGACATCTATAAAAATGTATCATAAATGGGTTGCCAAATGCCTGTCACCTGAGAACTGGGTAAAGAATTTATGGGATATATATACCATGAAATACTACAGAGCAGTAAGAAAAAAAATGAAATACTGTCATATGCAACAGAATGGATAAAACTGGAAAATATCATGAAATAAACCAGTCCCAAAAGGACAAATATCATATGTTCTCCTTGATCTGTGATAATTAATAGAACACCTAAAAGGTAACCTATAGAAGTGAAATTAACACTTCAAGATGCAATGACTTTGAATAGCACTGTCTCCACTGTTGAGGAACAGCATTTTTTGTTTTTTGTTGTTGTTGTTTTTATACAATTTGTTGAACTCTTTACTTAATATAGTTACTCATATGTGTATAAAGTTAATTGAAAATAAATTTATTAAAAAAATAAGAATGGGAATAGGAGAGGGAGGAGGAAGAGTGGTGGGAGGGCAGGTACAGTGGGAAGAATCACTATATTCATAAAGTTGTATTTGTGAAAAGCATGAAGTTTGTATTCCTTAAATAAAAGGTTTCTGCGGGAAAAAAATGGGCTGCAGCAGTCATCACTCTAAAATTTATGAAACTTGGAACAAGATAAGAGGAACAACAAAATTTAGCTCTGGGGCATGAGGGAAGTTAAGCTCAAAATTAAATATACATCCTGTGGACTCAGCTGTCAGCCTTACATCTTTTGCCAGGAACACCCCATGTTTAGATATAATCAATCAACAAATCCATACCAAGAACCTACTGTGAGCAAGAACTCATAATGAGTTGAATAAAAGATACATGCTCATCATGGCCTCCTAGGTTATGACCATGGCTGATTATTGCCTTGCTCTGTTTATGGTATGACTTGACAATCACTCAACAGCTCTTACATAATTCTATGTATTTCAGGAAGTGAAAGTCACATTCCTTCAACAATACCTTCAGTAATGGTACCTAAGATGGAAACTAGGCTTCAATTACTCACATAAACTGTCATACTGAAGGAAACAGAAAGCAGAGGAATCTCTACTTATGTCAAGTAACAGAATCAGCTCTGTAGCATTTCAGATTCTGACAGAGGTTGCTTTTATGTGTAGCCTACTAGGGTTGGGAACATTCGCTTAGCCAAAATACTTTTCTAGAAGCTAGTAAAGCTTCTTATTTCAGAAATGAGAGCTCTTAGGTAAAAACAAGACATTTTAAAAAAATTATAAACTTAATTTTTAAAACTCCCCAAAGACCCTAGTTCTTAAAGTAAAATGTGTAGCTCTTGCAAATTAATGAGAATAATGGATGAAATGACACTGATATGGCATTTCAGAATGTGTCTCAATGTGGTAAAACATGTATAAAAGCTTGCAAATTACTAACCTTTCCTCTTTTCTTTTGGTAAGAAAGGAAAGAGGAGACTCAAACACCATTTGTATTTCAAACAGGTAAAAGCATCTAAAGATTGTTCTATGGCCATGGTCATGACATCACAGATCTGCAGTAACTCAAGGATCTCTCTAGGAACCAGCAAACAAGTAGCTTTTTGGTTAACTATGTTAATTTACCTATTGAGAAGCCAGGGGAGATAGATATATGGTCTGATAAAGGGGTACACCAGGTAAGAAAATTTGCATATTTAAGGACATAAAACCAATTAAGTGTATGAGATATATACTTAAGCATATGGAGAAAAAAGACTTGACTTACCTGCACTGCCAAGCTGTTTATAGAACCTGTACTCTAAATGAAGCTGTGGAGCACGTGATTTTATTGGTTCCTGAAACCCAAGAAGAAAAACTGTGATCAAATTTAGAAAAATGGAATTTTTCCTATTCCTAGATTTTTTTTTATTTTATCATAAAGTTTAATGATAGTTCAGAAAAAAATTCAATGGATAACTTTCTCTGAAAAAATATATCAACTCTGTATAGACTACAGTTATGGAAGGGTGCTAAGTTAAATTACCCTATTTTCTAATCTGAAAATGACAAAAAGTCCCATTTCCAGTCTGATTATAAAGATACATGTGCCCAAAATGGCTGAGAATAAATACAACAAGAAAGGCAAAAACTGTAAAGCTAATGGCATGCAACAGGCTCTAAGAGAAAAATCTCAGAAATACCCAAAGTGGCAACAAGGAACATTTGGCTGGAATATGAAGTTCTCTCAGTCATCCTTGTCTTTTGCTCCATGTTTAAGGATGCGTGTGAACCCAATGTAATTGAAGTTCCCCTTTTTGTCAATGGGAGCTTCTCTGTAGAGCTCGTCCACCTCCTCGTCTGTAAACCGGTCTCCCATGGTTGTCAGCAGCTCTCTCAGGTAGTCCTCCTGAATGGTGCCAGTTCTTCTTCATCAAAGCAAGCAAAAGCATTTCTGATGACATCTTCTGGATCTGTGCCATTCAACTTCTTACCAAACACGGTGAGAAACATGGTGAAACTGATGGGGCCTGGAGCCTCACTCATCATGGCGTCCAGATACTCATCAGTTGGATTTTTCCCCAGTGAAGCAAGCATATCGTGCAAATCCTCCTTGTCAATGAAACCGCCTCGGTTCTGATCAATCATGTTGAAGGCCTCTTTGAACTCCTGAATCTGTGACTGGCCAAACATGGCAAACACACTGGACGTGGCACGCTGAGGGCGCTTCTTGGTGGTCTTGGTCTTTGCCCTTTTGCCCGACATGGTGGTGGTTAAGTCCCTGCACATGCGCAAGAATCAGAGAACCTCGGGGAAGCGCTTGAAGCGGCCACCACCACCTTGCCACATGGAGAGCAGCTACAAGCCAACACTTCCGGCCTTTGCTTTGCAAACTGGAAGGAAGCCCAGTCACCATTCCTGGCCGACGGAATGGGCCTCCTATTCCTAGATTTTTACAGTAAACAAGGGCTATGATCACTTAATATTTTAGAGATAATATCTATACATGATAGCTTTTTCTTCCCAAGAATTGTATTGTCAAGTACAGTTAACATGAAGCTGAATTATAATGCATACTTTTCCAAAGATAAACAGATTTTCCATGAGCCACCATTCAATCATAGCTCTCTCACTATGAAATATTCTCCTGAAATGTATTCTCCCTGAAACCAGATGTCAAATATTTTTTTAAAACGCCAGCATGTATTTCCTGCTTGCTTCATTATGAATCTTCAGTGTAAATTCTTTTTTTAGAAAAATACCTGTTCAGAAAAAATTCAAATCTAATAAAAAATTAGAAAGTAAAAATTTTGAGAACCTACCATATTAAAGGCATTTATTATATAGACTCAAAAGCATAATTTAATATAAATGATATCATGCTATATTCTCTTTCAGTAATGGGCTTCAATTAAAAAAAAAGTAATGGGAGGCACCAAGATGGCAGAATAGGGAGGGAGCTTACTATTCTAGGGGAGGGTCGCTTAAAAATGTGGAGAGAGTGCAATCTCGGGGAAAAGTTAGGGAGAAAACCAGAGTAAACTCCACACAAATTAGAGGGACACTGTGACCCTATGTGGAGGGTGTGGACACACACAGCTCAGGACCCCAGCAGCAGAAAGCCTCAGCACCAGCTTTGAGAGTAAAGTGAGGCCAGACTGTAGCAGCCCAAGCCACTAGCTATAAAGCTTCAGGAAGAGCCTGGCATTGAGTCTGGCTTGGAGCCCTATGGGGGACAGTATACCTGCCAATCTAGAGGGGAAAAAGGGAGCATGTTTCTCTCTCCCCGATCACCTAGCACTGGTGTCCTATAACTAGCCAAGAGCTGGCTGGCACCATTTTGGACATTATAACAGCTGGACTAGCTTGTGTCCGCACAACACATCTAGCAACCAGCCGAGAGGAGACACCTGAGTCTGGCAGGGAGAACTGACAGGGGCTGGGCGCCCATGACTGTGGGAGCCTTGTGTGCTGGGACTGTGAAAACACTGTGGCTGTGTGTGAGGCACGGAGTGTGGCTGGGTCTTTAGGCAGTTGCTATGGGCAGCTCCACATGCTTGGGGCTCCCTGATTCCCTGGTGAGAGTCATTGCTGCAGGATCTGTGCTCATACCGAGGACGGCACGGATCCTTTGTGTGGTTCTTGTGGCAGTGTGGATAAATATTGTATCCACTGGGGCTAGTGCCCAGAAATCAGTCTCCTTGGAGGAGAGGAGGTGAGCATGAGACTACGCTAACAGAGCTGAGCAAACCTCCCCTCTAATTTAAAAGAGAGAGAGATTTACCATGACCAATTTGGGAGTCATCTTGGATACTCCCCTCATTCTGAAGCACTTAACAGAGCTCCCTGACCACAGGGAGCACACGCCTCAGGGTATTCACTGAAAGAGCAGACACTCCACTAATCCACAGAGGCATAGTCCAAAGATAAAAGTCATGGGGGGAGGGCAACAAGTATCACCACAAATGACTAAAAATAAATGCAGCAATTCAAGAAAACAAGAATAAAGAAGACTACATGACACCCCCAAAGGAATACAACACTTCAGTATAGAATATGAAAATGAAGAGATTGAAGAAATGCCAGAATCAGAATTTAAAAAATTGATCATAGGATTACTTAGAAGTAATCAGAAGCAAATCTACAAACTAAAGAAATCCATACATGACATGAATGCAAAATTTTCCTATGAAATTGAGATTTTAAAGATAAATCAAAATGAAATACTGAAAATGAAGAATTCAACAGAACAAATAAAAATACAGTGGAAAGCCTTAACAACAGAATTGGTGAGGCAGAATAAAGAATATCCTAGTTAGAAGACAAATCTCTGGAAATTTTACAGATAAAAAAAAGAAGAAATCAGAAAACTAAAACACAGCATTGGAATCTATGGGATACTATCAAACGACCCAACATACAGGTCTCTGGAACATATATAAACATATGGAGACTGAACAACATGCTCCTGAATGAACAGTGGGTCACAGGAGAAATCAAAAAAACTGCTGGGAAACTATTTGTTGTACTCTTTATTTGTATGGAGTTAATCTTCTGCTTATAAAGTTAACTGAAAATAGATCTTAGTAAAAAATAAGAATGGGAGTAGGAGGAGGAGGAAAGGAGGTGGGAGGGTGGGTATGGTGGGAAGAATCACTGTATTCCTAAGGTTGTATTTATGAAATGCATGAAATTTGCATTCCTTAAATAAAAGGTTTCTGGGGAAAAAGAAAAGAAAAAGGTCTTAGTAAAAAATAAGAATGGGAATAGGAAGAGAAGAGGGAGAAGAGTGGGAGGGTCATACAATGGGAAAAATTGCTATCACCAAGTTCCTAAAGTTGTATTTATGAAAGTTTGTATATCTTAAATAAAAGGTTTCTGGGAAGAAAAAATGTGATAGCATCTTTCATTGGCAGTAAATAAAGGTGTATAACATTATTTTTAATGACTGAGTTATTCCTCTTTATGTATGTATAATGTATAGGTATGTATGTATGCATACACTGAAGACTGTTTTCAGTTTTCAAAATCATGAACAATGCTGTTAGGAAGATGCTTATGTCTACTCCTTTTTACGCTTATAAAAATTAAAGATTATAAATGTAATTTAAGTATGTAAGTTCAATCACTACGGTGTTCAAGTTGACAAAAATGGAGTTTTCTACAGATGCCAAAGAGAAAGCAGCCAAATAACCACACTTTGCTTATACCAAACTTCAAGAACTGGTTGACTAATCATTCTGAATTGACAATGTACCAGGCACATAGCTAACAACACAGACACTACCCTAGAAAATAACGTTTCTTGTCCCTTTCATATATAAATGATAGACAAAAATCACCACAAACTTACTATGACATTTTTGTAAAAACTCAACATCTTGAGTGGGCATAAGTGCCCAGTGGTTGAGATGCCCATGTTCCAGATCAGAGTGCTTGGGTTTGATTCCCATCTCTGACTCTGGAATCCTGCTTCCTGCTGATGCAGACTCTGAGAGACAACCGTAGTTGATACTGATGACTCAAGTAATTGACTCCCTATGAACTTTGTGGAGACACAGACTGAGTTCCCAAGTTTCAAATTCTGGTGGGTCCAGCCCAGGCATCTGGGAAGTGAATCAGTGGATGGGAAATCTCTATTTCTCTCTCCTTCACAAATAAACAAACTACTACTGCTAATAACAACAATAATGATAATAATTCAACATCCACATACTTAGATGTTAGGGTAGCTACTATCCAAAACAGAAAGTAACAAGTGTTGGTGAGGGTACAACAAAATTAGAACCCTTGTACATTGCTAGTAGGATGTAAAATGATGCAGTTGTTGTGGAAAATTGCATGGTGATCCCTCAAAAATTAAACACAGGGATGGGTGTTGGGGCACAGTAGGTTAAGCTGCCACTTGGAATATCTCACATCCCTTATCAGAGTGCTGGTTCAAGTCTCAGCTACTCTGTTTCTGATCCAGCTTCCTGCTAATGTGCCTGGGAGGCAACAGATGACAGCCCAAGTACTTGGGTTCCTGCCACCTATGTGGGAAACCCAGATGGAATTCCCAGCTCCTGGCTTCAGCCTGGCTCAGTCCCTGTTGAGAGCATTTAGGGACTGAACCAGTAGATGGAAGATTTCTGTCTCTCCATCCCTATCACTCTGCTATTCAAATAAATATATCTTAAAAGGAAACAAAATAGAATTATTAAGATTGAGCAATTCTTCTTCAGTATACATACAGTCTAAAGACTTAGAAGCAGGGACTCAACTAGACATCTGTACATCATATTCATAGTAGCATAATCCATAACAGATAAATGGAGGGTGCAATCCAAGTGTCCATCAATGGATGAACTAACAAAAT